ATTTTCTACTAGTCCTACGACTACTGCATAGTCACTAAAAGCAAAAGCCACGACCAAATTTAATTCAACAATTACCATTAACCCTGCTTCACTAGTCCACGACGCACCTCGATCCATCCAAATAATAATAATACAAATACTAACAAAATCAAATCACCCCTCAATCTGGTTCATATGACTCGGAATATTCCACGGATCGTAATCAATATGCACGAATGCCCTATCCACCGTAGGCACACTCTCCACCATATACTGCAGACTCTCCCCAACATCATGACTATCTTGGAGTCTGGTCTTCGGGTCCAGGACAATATCCACCTCGACGTTGAGCCGATCTCCTGCGTAATAGGCCTTTAGATCTTGGATCTTGAGAATTGCTTTCGAGAACCGCATCGTCATGTACAGCAGAATACTGTGGTCTTTGGGTGATGCTGCGGCGCCTGTTAGATGGCCGATGTGTTCGCTGGCTGTGGCGCTCCAGTTGTAGATTATGTACAGGGACAGGAGAAGACCGCCTAACGGGTCGATGTACCAGGTTGTGGTCAGGGAGCCGACTTTTTGTTGTATTGGTTAGTGGTGTGGTTTGGGTTGAGAGAAGTTAGGGTGAGGGCAGGAAGAACTTACTGAGAGGGAAGAGAATACTGAACAAGTTGAAGATTACGTCCGTCATGGCGTCTTGTGCTAGTGCTTGGACGCTCGAGTTCTTAATCAGTCGACACCAGAACCAGCAGATGAGCTTGACGATAACTGTGCTGGCCATGACAGCGATGGAAGGGAGGGATAGATCGACGACGGAGCGGTCGGAAGAAATGAGGCGTGTGAAGGATGTGAGTGCGACTTGGACGAAAGATGTCACCATTACGACGGCGAAGACTAATACGCTGAGTGGTTCGAGTCGGCGACGGCTGATCGGGTATCGGGAGCGGTCTTGTCGACGGATCAAGGTGGTTGTGATCCAGACTATGGCTGTGCTGAGGAAGTCCAGTGCCCCGTCGACTAAGCTGGCCAGGACGGATAGAGAGTTTGTCATGGTCATAGCAATAATCTTTGCGACTAGGAGGAGGACGTTGGCGATGAAGTTGACGTATATTGCTACAGTGACTATACGGTCGCTGCTGTCGACGAACTCATCGTTTGTGGGGATGATGTCTGGGGGTGATGCTACTCGTTCTTCGATCATCGGGGGCAGGAGTGGAGATGTCTCGTTCTCGCTGGGAATGCGATAGAGATTTCGGGGAGTTCTCTTGATTTTACCGGATGCTTTGGTATCTCCTGTGCCGTAGGAGGTTGCGTCATATGCCCGGCCGTTGGTTGAGACTGGGGGCTCTCCTGGCTGGTTGCTGTGATAGTCCACAATCAGACGATGGGGGAGAGAGGAGTCCAGCAATCTGTCAATAAAGACATATTGCGATATCAGATCGTTGTTGCGCTCGTAATACTCGCGCCTGTTGCCGTGTCAGATCGCACAGCGTTGGAGCCATAGACGGGGACGTACATGGCCTTTGGCATTTTCTTCAGCGTAGTAGGGTCCTGATAGAAATGTTGCCTGCATTTCCCCTTTAGTACATATTAACTAAGCTGTGAAACGAGGGGAAATGGCATACCAACGATAAATAGGCCTGCTCTCGCCGATGAGTCGCCTAGCGCGCTCAAAAGCAACAGGCCTATCCCCGCGATCTTGAATGGAATCTTCAAGCCTTTCACTGTCATAAGGATTATCGGCGCTTTGGACGCTGAGAGAGCGCCGTCGTATTAGTCCCCCGAGGCGTTGGCCACGGGTGGAGAGAAGATCGTGTTCTAAGTCAAGACTTGGTTGTCTCGCCCGGATGAATGAATCCGATCGCGGCGAAGAGGTAAGCATTGGTGGCACAGTACTAGACCGAGGTGTCGAGGACATCTTCCCTTCCCTTGCATTGAATGGCGTATAAACTTAATGGATGAAGAAGCATTCTGACTAGGCGGCAGCGATGACTTGGTCGACCGAGTCAAGCTTGGTGGGACCCTGACGGCATTCTTCAATCGGAGTCTGGGGCGCGCGGGCTGGGCCGAGCTGTTAGCTCACCATTATGAGATGGAGTCCGACAGAACTTTCTCACCTCAAACATACATAGTCCCTGACTGTCGTTTTATTTTCAGTGTCAGTACTGAGTAGTAGACACATATGTCATTGTCGCAAGAAGCCGCCTCGTGGCTCTCGCCGCCACCTGTGCAGCTCTCTCCTGCACCACAGGCTGGGGATAAAGCTCCCTCTTGCCCGGAACTGCCCCTCCCAGCCAACAACAACAGACCAACCATTATTTCATTCCTCAGGCACTGTGGATGTCCTGGTCAGTGACGCCTCTAAAAAAGCGCAGTCTACCATCAAACTAACGATATTTGCAAGTGGCGGAAGCAACTTTTCTCGAGCTGCGCACTGCCGCTGAAAATCACTCCGAGATCAACTTTGTCGCTGTATCGCATAGCGACCAGCCATCAACGGAGAGATGGCTGGAGTCTATTGGCGGAACCGGTGAATCGGGTTCCAACCCCGTGACCGTCATCGTCGATGCTGATCGCAAGATCTATGCGCAATGGGGCCTGGGCGTCACTTCGTGGAGCCATGTCCTGAGTCCAGCTGGACTTTTATCTATCGGGAAGCTAGGTTGGGAAAGGGGGATCTGGAACAAGCCTACAGAGAGTGGTAGTCGATGGCAGTTGAGTGGCAATTGGGCGGTTGACGCCGAAGGAGGAGTGCGCTGGGGAGGACCTGTGAAGCGAGCTGATGAGCTGTTAGATATTGAACAGGCGATTTATAGTATCAAAGCTTAAATTAATATCATGTGGGTTTATTTGGTTTTCAAAGGTGGCATGCTTTTGACTTATCCAAGACATGTCATGGTAATAATAAGGAACGGAAGATTTTGTACGCTTAGATTTAATTGGGTTCTTCTTTTGCGCCTCTCTTTGACATCCACTATCTCTCTCATCCTTTCCCCCAAATCTTGTAGAGACTAAAACCAGGGTGACCGATCAGGATTGCAGTAGGCCTTGGTAAAACTCGTGCTTTAAGATATGGCCAAGCTTCCCAAGTCTGGCGTGATCGATTCTGATTATTAATGCTTAATCCGTAACTAAACGTCCCAGGCAACAAAGATTGATGTCTCCCAAATCTATCCAGACCTACATGTTCGCCCTTAAGGCATCACTCATGGAACAGAGGCTACTGTTTTTTAGTATTATCGGGAGTTCTATGGTTATTGAAAAAGAATCGGGCATCCGTTCTTCGTCGGATTGGTGCGAATAGCTTCAATAAGCTGTGATCCTTTTGGCTTGGCTGACCAGTTTCCGTCAATCGAAACGTGAGATCCATTCTGAGTTTCCATTGAAACGCCACGCTTGCCTTGCATTTAACCAGTCGGCTATTTCTCCTTGTCCGAAAGGGTATTCGTGCGTGGCCAGCTTGCTTGCTTTGAGGCTGCATGAGATGAGCGGATGTTAGTGGATTCTAAAGGAATAGTAGTTGCTATCATGCTTACCCCGCATCTAAGCCTTTGTCCCTGGTGCTGCACGATAGTCTTCTATGACAGAAATCAGAATGGAGGTGAGGCGCAGACAATCGTAGAGAAGGAAGACTCAGGGGCACGTGGGGACATCATGTGCCCGGCCAAAGACTACCTCCCGCCTCAACTTCTGCTCTATACTCCAACCTGTCACCGCAGCACCCTGTTTGCTCATGCGGCATGTCAGGATTAATCTCAAATTTAGACTAGCCTAGACCACTGCTAGTCTGCCAATCTGCTCGCTTCATGCCTGTCTGCCTCGGCAACCTGGGCCGCTACCCCGGACGAGCAATAGAACAATTATAGAAAGCAGTGGCCAGAAGGTTGGGTAGTCACCATACCCGAAACCTGGAGAACCGGAACTCAAATACCCTATTGGCTTATCAAAAGCTCGGTTTGGACGGACGGGACACACTAGTGGCTGTCATTGAGGCAGAATCCTTCTCCGGCTGGCCGCCAGATTCCCTCAAGCGGACTGCAACCGCACGGGCTGACCGGACCGGCGCTTCTTGTGTTAGTGTGTTACACGCCAATCATATCGGCTGGGGAAGCTTACTACTTTGGAGTGGACGCAATCAGGAGCGAGGTGGTCGTACTAGTCCCGGGCCGGCTGGCCACCCCGGATTTTCAAGCTTCCTGCAAACCCTCGCTTCGCCATCGGCCTTTTCGTCCACCGGTCAACCCGTGCCCAGTCTGACGCATGCAAAGCGATGAGCTCGCTACAATCCACATGGATTCGATCCCGCAATAAGGCTTAACAGGGATCACGTATATAGGCCATGTTGTCTACCCCACCCCCGCTCGGGGTCCTTTCCTGTGGCTTTTTCTTCTTTATAAGTTCTGTTGTTCAAGGCCCCACTTAACGCGACTTCATGGCATAAGAGACTGACACACCATAATAACATATCCATCGGTGTCTCAAGATGGGTCGATACTTTACAATTGGCCTGGCTGCATTTGCAGCTACGGGGTCATTTCTGTTCGGATACGACAGCGGTGTTATGACGGACGTAATCGAGTCTAAAAACTTTCTGGCTTTCTTCAACACCACCCAGACATCATCCATCATCGGTGCTATCAACAGCACATTTTCGGGGGGTGGTAGGTCATCCTTTCTGGCTTGGTCTCTGTTCATCCCGTGCATTGTGCCGCTGGCTAACAATAGCTGCTAGCTTGCATTGGTGCGCTCCAGGGAGGGCTGACGATGGATCGCTTCGGACGAAAGTTCACTATCCAAATGGGTGCTTTCATATGCATGATTGGCGCTATTCTCCAGTCGTCAGCGAAGAATTTGGCTATGATTCTTGTTGGTCGCATTCTGGCCGGCTGGGCTGTTGGTCTCATGTCGATGTCTGTTCCAGTGTATCAAGCAGAGGTCGCTCATCCCCGTTCGCGTGGGTTCATCATCGGTCTTGCCCAGCAGATGATCGGTGTTGGATTCATTGTCAGTACGTATGTATACCACCATCTCAACCGAAGCAGAGTGTCTCTCAAGGAAGAAAAATACTAACCTAAGATTAGCTGGGTCGGCTACGGCTCCCTTCATGCACCGAATACCAGCGAGTTCCAATGGCGATTCCCGCTTGCCTTTCAGGCAGTCCCTGCAGTTCTCCTGGTTATAGGCATGTTTTTCATGCCCGAGTCACCTCGGTACCTGATCGAAAAGGAACGCTACGAGGAAGCCATGAAAATCCTCCGGAGACTTCACTTCGACGGCACCAACGAGGACTGGATTCAGACTGAGTACAACGAGATCAAAACCACCATTGAAGCCGAAAAAGCTGTCACAGTTCCCGGCTGGCTCATCATGTTTCGTGTGCCCCAATGGCGAACCCGACTCATGTGCGTTTCCTTGTCGTACCAACATTTTAATATTCAACCCCGCATTTGACTAACTCCCCCACCCAAACAGGCACGGGATCGCCGTCCAAGTATTCACCCAGATGACAGGCGTCAACGTCGTGAACTACTATCAAACAATCATGTACAATGCCCTCGGCATCACTGGTAACCGCAACACCCTCGTAGCAGGAATCTACAACTGCGTCGGTCCCATCACGAACTTCATTTTCATCTTTTTCCTTCTCGACCGAGTTGGGCGCCGCAAGCCCATGTTGTTCGGAACAATCGCTATCACCATTGCCCTGGTCTGCGAAGCAGCTCTCTACTCGCAGAACCTGGACGGCACTCGAAAGGGATACAGTATCGGTGGTGTTTTCTTCATCTTCTGCATCACTGTTATCTTTTCTCTGTCATTTGGTCCTTGCAGTTGGTTAGTGCCTCTCCCCACTCTGAATTGACACAGACATTTTCTCTCTCTAACGTGACATCTATAATATAGGGTCTACATGGCAGAAGTAATGCCAATGCAAATCCGCGGTCGAGGAAACGCCTTCGCCACTGCAATCGGCAACTGGGCCGTAAGCACTCTCTGGAACCAGGTCTCCCCGATCGTGCTGGACAAAATTCAGTGGAAGTTTTATTTCGTGTTTGCGGCGTGGAGTGAGTGACCCATCCTCCTCCTTTCCCATTTTGGTTTTCCCTTTTCCCTTCCTTTCACTTACTGCTTGCCTGCTAATCATCGGAATCGAAACAGACGTATGCATCACCCTCCCAACCGTCTACTTCTTCTTTAAAGAGACAAATCAAAAATCACTCGAAGAGATCGATCTACTCTTTGGTGGTCGTGCCCTGGGAATGCTTCCTGAGGATGTGGCTGCCAAGGGAGGAACAGTGGAGACTGAGAAGGCAGAGGAGACGGGGTAATCGGTTATTAATGTTGAGCATACGAGTACTGTGTGACCATGACGGAGTGTGTTATGGTATCAAAGAAGTGGGGGGGCCGGTCATGATCAACTGAATCGCACAGTGTCTCTATTTTCACCACCAGAAAGTATATGGGGTCTCGTTCTATACCATAACAACTCTTTTCTCTTCTACTCTTGCATATCTACCCATCCAAACCTCTACCCCCTCTCAAAGAAACGCCCTACTCCCCAGCTTCAAAAACTCCCTCGCATTCCCAAATTCAATCAAATCCACCTCCTCAGCCGACAACCTCCCCGACTCCCTCACCTTCTTCAAGAACTCCTTCCCCGTAACATTATCCTCAAACGGATAATCCACACTATACATCACCCTCTCCACCTTCGTAACCTGCAACAGCATCATCAGCGTCTCAATACTAAACACCCCACTTGTCGTAACCCAAATATTCTCATTCCAAACATCCATAATCCCCTTGCGTCTCGAGGCCGCCAACTCCTTGAAAAACCCCAACCTCGCAACCCGATGCAACATGATTGGTAGCAGCTCGCCCATGTGTCCGATTACGATCTTTAATTTAGGGTATTGCTCGAAGACGCCTGCCGCGTAGAGTTTCAGGATGTGCAGCCCTACGTTCTCGTGCCAGCCCCAGGCTGCGGACGCGAGGCCCAGTTCTGCAGGGAGGGGGTAGTTGCCGGAGAAGCGGGATTGGATGGATTCCGGGGACGGAGTGGAAGGGTGGATGTAGAGGGGGACATCGAGGGATTCGGCGGCTGCGAAGACGGGCCAGAACCGTTTGTCGTCGTAGTGGGTTGTTCCGTCGGGGAGGTGATTGTCGATTAGGGCACCGAGGAAGCCGAGGTCAGTGACGGTGCGGCGGAGTTCTTGGGCGGCTTCGAGGGGGTACGCCATCGGGAGCGCTGCGAAGCCGCCGAATCGGTCTGGGTGCTGTTTTATGGCGGCGGCCATTTCGTTGTTGGCTGCGTGGCAGCGGGCGGGGTCTGTTGAGGCGATACCGCCGGGCAGGTGGGAGAGGATCTGGTAGGAGACGTTGCCGGCGTCCATGTTGGCGAGGCGGGCTTTGGAGTGGTCCTTTGCGAGGTTGCGACATTCGGGGTATATCTTCCATGTGTTGTCGTAGAAGAAGTTGTTGCTTTCGAGGGATGGGAATATCGCGTGCTCTTCGAGCGTGATGGCTTGCGCGGGGGAGGCCATGGTTATGGGACTGTTGTAGTGAAGAGTTGGTCTCCGCTTGTACGGGTGGGTAAATTGCTATCCGGGTGAGGGTAGGAAGCCCGTTGTCGAACAATGCAGACTTAAGTGGAATTGCAGCTCCTTGAGTCAAAGGTGTTGTGCGACCAACGCCTCTGGTAAGGGATAGCTAGGGGCATGCTGCTTCATAAGTTGAGGACGGCGCCATTTTAGGCGGGTAGTAATGAGGGACAAGTCAACTTGGGATATTGGGCTACCGACATTGCGGCCTATAAGCGTGCAAAGGAAACATAACCTTTTGAAGTAAGCTAGACAGTCCAATCCCCGAGAAGGGGGAAGCCAGTTGATGCAGAGTCAGCAGTGTGTGTTGTCTTCGGCGTCCCGATCAGCGAGTGTGAAGATCCGGATAACCGTGTTGTTTATACAAGACAGGAGCAAGCTGCGTCATAGCCATGGGTAACAACGAGCGTGAGCTGCACATCCGGGGGATCTGTGTGGATCGGCAGCCGTGGCATGACCTGGCACGACATGGCATGACCTGCTAATTTGCTGGCTTCTGGCTAGTGCGACCGCCACCAAAATCATGCTCAGCCGACCATCCATCGAAATCTCCCTTGCAACCGCGCCAAGGAAGTTAGTCCGGGGCGCATGGGAAGGAATGAATCAATGCTTGCAGCGATCGCCCGACGGTCAGTGCCATAGGGTTAGTAGCATCGTTTAGAGTGATGGATGTGCGCTGCTGAGCCCCCCCCCCCCCCAGCGGCAACCTGCGCTAGTAGTTGGGAGAAGCTGCTGCCGAATGACCTGGGGGAAACAGGCGTGGAATGCAGGCAGCCAGATGCCTCTGGCTGGGCTTTCAAGGGAATAAAGCTCGTGGGTGGCACATAGTCTGAAGCCAGACAAAAGGAACCTTGTGTTGTCATGGTGATGGCGATAGCACTGTGATTTCCTGATCTTAAAACTGAAGTGTTATTCAGTCACGCCCCCCATTCCTTTTTCCTGAATATTCGGGCGTCAGCGACCGTGGGAAATGCACGTCTCACGAGCATCTGCTGATTGATGGCTTCGGGATGGCCTGATAAAGCATGGTTGGCGCATACCCCGCCAGGTGACGACGATCAGAGGCACAACGTTTGGTGGCTCGTGTCCTTTATTAGCGGCCAGAATCCTCGGGACCGTGGAACAATTCTCTTCAGAATTAACGAGAAGGCAGAATATAACCATCAGGAAAGACATCCTCAGCCTCGGTTGAGGATTGTCGCCTCTCTCGCTCGCTCGCAACCCGTCCACACCGAGTCCCCGCGGCGAGGAACATGGGGTTGTCGGAGAAAAAGGATAACACTCAGGTGAATCACCACATGGCCATTGTCTTGGGAATCGGACTAGGAGTCGCGACCTTAATCATCATGTGTTTGCTGTGAGTATTTAGCCAGCCCCTAATCATCTTTGTGCCCGATGATGGTCATGATCGCATTCGCGCCACTAATACCCTAAATTCAATAGTTTGACCCTTTTCGTCAATCGGCGTGATCGCCATCCGGTTCTCAAAAGCAAAGGCAGCTCAAACGACAAACTACGCAAGCTGGATGCTGTCTCCCCCACTCGGACATTAGAAGACTGGTGGTCGCGAGCTAAAGGGCCGCTTTTACCGTCCGAAGGTGTTGATGGCGACTTCATATGGTACGTTTAACTTGCATCCGCCGACCAACGGCTGAATTAGCGGCAACGCTAGCAAGTTGTTCGCCCACTAACGATGCCGTTGACAGCGTTGTTTGCCTCGAGTCGGTTCTGCGCTGCCAGGAAATCCGGGAACTCAAATGTCTGCACGTGTTCCATCGAGAGTGTCTGGAAAAGTGGTATCTGCAAGACCATTTTAATTGTCCACTCTGCCATAGAGCATATTACGTCCAAGAGACCCATCCAAGTAATGAGTTTGTGTGGATGGTGTGAATGCGACCGACTTTTTCTCCATGTTCATGCGGCGTTTTGGTGTCTTGTCTGGGTCTGGGCCTTCACCCCGCGCCGGTCTTACTCCACTCAAGTCTTGTCGGTCACGAGGGGCAGCATTGTCTGCTTCTCTTCGGTATTATAGAAGACATGGGCCAGTCCATATGTGGGTTCCCATTGGTTGGTCCTGGGCGATAGTTGGGATCCTCTTTCATGAGTTAATGACCTTTGATGATTAATGCGATACCCATATGTTTACAGAACTATGCAGCTCTCACAAAAGTCAGTCTTGCAAAGGTAGATACTCGGAATTGAAGTCCCAATTGTTGGGATTGCTGGGATGGTACCAGTCCAGGAGACTGTACAGGCCAGAGGTGGCATCGTTGAAAGCCATGTCCTCGATGGGCTGAGGATCAAGAACCTGGTCGAGAATATGGGACAACTTCCTCTCCGCTTCCTTGCACGTGTGGTAATTGCCATGCCCCGGTCGCGCTACCCAGGAGAGGCATGATATGAAAACACTCAGATTCCGGATGATCTCAGCTCGCGGTAACGCAGTAGTATATGTCCCAATTCCCTGATTCTGGTGAAGGAGCTCGAGGATGAGAACGCTGGCACTAGGGAGGCCGTAGTAAAGAAACTGCACCATGTTAATGTACAGAAAAGAAAAGTATATTGCAAGAGGTACTCGACTTACAATCCAAGCACGATGTCTACTCAAGTCGAGGGCTGGGTCACTGTCAACGTTGCCTTTGATAATATTAGACAACATTTTTCGTGACGTATCGAAAAGAGCCTCATGCCCGGTATTTGTGCGTTTAACAACAGTCCTCTGCAGAAGGAACAGGGTATAAAGATAGTCGAGGTGAATATGAAGCAGGGTAAACGACTTTGCTGGAGGTTCCGACTCGGTTCCTTCCGCAGGCACGTCGTAACGGAGACGGACGGGGCACGCTGCCCATGACTCCCGCGCTTGCTTTATAATTTCACTTCAAATGATTTAGCGACGAAGCCATTTGCACTTGCATGAGAGCCAGGGTATGAGGCCGACTCACTTGGATTTCTGCACCGTATCACTGTGCTCGCTGGTCCCTAAGGCTATCTCGAGAGCTCGCTCCCTGAACACGGCGAAGATGAAACGGAGACGGAGTACACTTGCTCGGTCGACCTCATCTTTGGATGCCCATCCGAAGCCATCCAATCTTGAAATTGCCGCGACTAGCTCATCCCCACCCTGGACTATCGTTCTTTCGCTAATATCCAGCGGGGGTGTTAGTGTGCTGTAGCGGTAGTTTATGGATGGCGGTCGTCCCACGAATGTGGCTTGATTCTTATCTGCCGAGAAGGCAGCAGCAAAGCACAATCTTCTCCATTGTCGAAGAAAGAAAGGGCAATCATCGCCCATAAGACTCTCTTGATGAAGACCAGCCGCATAGATTGTAGCGGATAATTCACGAAGGCGACGCCAGGCTTGATAGCCTATATTCAGATGACAGTTAGTGTATGTATGCTACGTCTTAGGAAGAACATATTGAAGAAGCAAGGCCTCTGTACTTACTTGAGTCACCGTAGACATGGGTGAGAAGTACAAAGCTGCTATACTGGCAAAATCCCAATAGCTCATTGACTGAAGAAGCCTGGTCGCAAAAGGTGAGACAGGTGCTGCTCGCTTCGACAAGCTGAGCGCGAAGTCTCTCCCGGGCTGAGGAGTCCGCCGCCACCTGGTTTAGATCTGGGTCACTCTCGGGTGTCGATGAGAGCGACATACCAGCAGTTGCGAATATAATGCCTATAGCTTCCCAACGTAAATTTTGCTCGGTAAACGAAGCACAATATCGCTCCACTGTCATCGACCTATAGTTGGGCAGCGGCCTGGAAGTATTCTGCGACACCTTACGAACTGTGTGTTGAAGCTGATTCTCGACATCACCGGTGAAATCAAGGGCCCCGAGAACATTCCGAGCGGAGCGTACAATAGACATTGTGACGATCTCTGGAATGACAGCAACAAGGACTCGGGTATAAAATCTCCGGATCAACATATCGCATATTGTGAGGTTATGAAGTAGCTTTAGCAACCGCACTCCAGTCTGGAGGCGTTCGGGTTCCATAGAATGGGTCACTGCGGTGGACATGGAGCTGCTATCTACATTGAGAGAGAAATCGGGACGATGCTCCGCAAGAATGGCTGAGTAACTTGTCGAGCCCAAGTATCCAGGAGAAGCAGAGGGCAGCTCCGACGTAGTATTTTGGCTTGGAAGAGCGCTCTCTATGGCTGCTACTGAGCTTGGAGAGCTATAACAATGTCAGCACAATTTGTGCGCTGGATTCCATGCATACTTTATTGTGATTGGAGGGTTGTTACCTTGCAATTGACTGGTTGTTTCTCCCTCGTGGCTTTCGGGCAGACTTGGTCAAGCCTCCAGCCGAATTCTTCGTCATCGGTGCTGGATGATAAAAACATTCCGATACCATATTCTTTGTTAGGCATCTGCCGCAGACTGGTCTCTCATGGTCGCATCGCAACTTAGATTTGCGACACGGCTCGCACGATTGCAATGACCCATTACGGCGAAATGCATTTGATCGATATTGGCGGCTGCGCAGATTAGAGTCTGGCATTTTTGCAATAGACAACCGATATTTAAGGCAGTGATCAACTCATTACTATAATGTCATAGTTGAAAGCGAGAGTTTGAAGCAAGTGTTGAGGGCGGGTAAATCAAGAAGCAGGCCTGACCTGCCCGAGACTGAATGCTTCTAGAGCGGGAACTAACTTGATTTGGTATCGCGTCCAGAGGTATGTGCAAGAGATTCGGAGATAATGAGTTGACTAACCATAACTCTAGCAAAACTCTCCATAAGTCATTGAGGTCAAACTAATAGGGAACAAACTACATTCACGCTGACTCCATCAACTCCAGATACATCTGCCCCACCAGCTTTCGCCCTTCATTATCCCCTTGTATCCACTCCTCCGGCGGAAATAGGTCAAACATGCCCACTTTCGTCAACAGCGGGATCGCGGCTCTAAGGGCCATCCTGAGCGTGTCCATTTTGACTTTGTCCCCAGCTGCATGTGCGTCATTATATGCCCGAATGTTGACCAGCAGTGCTCTAGACTCGACCTTAGTTCAGTGCATATTTCAAAGCAATAAATTAGAGAATTTGAAGGATCACTCACCCCACTGTGCCTGTCTGCACTTTGCTGCCATCCGGTAGAGTCACTTCTGGCATCGCAGTGCCAAGCGTTGACGAATTTAAGGCCACAAGGTCGGCGGCTGCGGGATTGGGCATGTCGTGACGATCAGGTGGAGCTTGGGTATTCTTAAAAGTAGTCGATGGTTATCTGAGCATCTGTATTTAGACGGGAAAGGTCGCCTTTTTGTATACTCCGTAGTTGAGGCTATGTCCGGAGGCTGTTCCCGGACATGAATGGGCCCTCCGCGGAGTTGCCGGGATCTCCGAGTGTAAGCTCGGAGCTGGAGTTAGATATGCTGCACTCGGCCAGAGCAAATTAACACGGTTTGAGATAGTCCTAACTTAAGCCAGATAGCCGCAGATTGTATTTACCGAACTCCAGTGAAGCTCAAATCATCTAAATCGCAACGGCGGATTAGTCTCCGCAAATTGCTACAATCTGAGCCCAACAGTCAAAGTTTAATAAAACAATTCATTCCCTAAACCATTCACGAGACCCCCTCCCGCCAAGGATTCAATCCGCGAAAACTTCCCCTGCCTCGATAGTCTCAAAAGCGCTCATAGTGTGATCCCACACCTTCTGCCTTAGTTGGTCCTTGTCGATCTTCTCATAGTACTTGGCGTTGTAGTTGGTATCTCCCGTTTTACCAAGGGAGTATACACCGCTTCCAAGCTTACCATCCGTCCCCATAGTAGTCTCCCCTTGGTTCTGCGACGAACTTGCTCCTCGTGGCGGATAACGAGACGATGCAAGGCTCAACATTCTGTCACCACTCTCAGATGGTGGAATAGTAAGGAACGGTGCAAAGAAGGGAACAAAAATGTAACGCCACAGCACCCTAAACCAAAGGGGCAAATCATGTTTTTCAAACCCGGGCCCTAACACGAGGCCAGGGAAGATGTGAATCAGACTAAGCTTCCCTCGGTTCTGCTCAGCCAAAGCTTCCATGAAGCATACATGCATGTATATCATATGTGAGCGAGCAGTCAAATAGTTATAGTTATTTAGATCGCGCAAAGAGAGATCGTCGGGAAATAACTTTTGCTCGTAGCCTGCTGCAAAGACCGAAACGACTGTTGCGGGGAGAGTCGACTTGAGTAGCAATGGAAGGAGCTTTGTTATTGCTCTCATTCGAGAATAGTACATCAAGGACATCGTGACGTCGATACCTTCTTTGGTGTCTGCGAAACCGTCAGAAGTGCAGACATATCAGATAGTATTAGGCGCACCTTTCCGTGGCTGAAAGATAGGCCCTCCCTGACTTAGCATGAGATAATCTATCCTTGGATCTTCTTGCTCCTTTTCTTCCATCTGAATGACCTCTTCGCAGACGCGATTAACGTTCTGAATTAGGGAAATATCCTCAGTTTGCAAGAATCTGATCTGGGCGTTGGGACAAATGCCACGACATTCTGCGATAATTTCTTCAGCGGCTTTGATATTTCTGCCAACGATATATGCACGGAAGCCTTTGCCACCCTTGGCTTCCGCCGTGGCCAAGGCACGCAGGGTATAGTGACCAATGCCTGAGGTACCGCCAAAGAAAACAGCAACCAATGGCTGGCGCTGAACTAGGGCAGTGTTAGAGGCATGCACGTCGTCTAATCCGACCATGGTAGATTGCTATAGGTAGTGAAAGGTTATGAAGGATGAGTATCGAATTCGAAACAGCGCAGCGAGGTCTGGGAGGCCTCATATATGGAGGGAAGTGAAATGCTTCGCACGGATTTAAGGAGTTTATCGGGGATAGGAGTAGCACATCAGTTAATATCCGATGCATGTTCCACGTTGACAAACAGATGAGCGAAAGAGAAAGCTTGAAAGGATGCTCGATATTAGGTACTATAGACCGTACCACGTACAAATTACCGGATGAGGGCTAGCGTGCCGATGATCCACGGGTCACTGCTCACATACGCTCTTGCTCTCTCCGCGCCACTTCTCACCTCAGAGCTATGGTAGCTATCTAATTAATATAACCGGTTATCGGGCTGACCCAGGCTTCACTGCGCGCTCATGTCGTCACCAACAATACCATCATAACAGGTATCTTCTCCTGGAAGGGTCTCCACCGTTCATCCACCACGTTATCTCCTCACCACTCCTGAGGCTTCTAATAATAGCCGAATAATCGGTCTGTTGCCATTAGGCAGCCACAGTCTAATAGCACCACGACTCATGCCCCAAAGGCGCTACCACAACAAGAGCCGACATGGCTGTTTGCAGTGCAAGAAGAATCGCACAAAGGTAGGTTGCATGGCTCCGTGTGCGTCCCGTGCTCACCCTAGTAGTGCGACGAAGATAGACCCCAATGTGGCCGATGCAGAAGGATAGGTTCGGCTTGCTCCTTGGCTACTCAGACAGCGAATTTGGTGTTCGTCGCACCCAGAAATGCAATGCCTCAGAATCAAGCCAGTAACAACTCATCTCGCGTCAATAACCAATCATCTAGCATATCCGACGGATATGGCAGTAATTCCCCTAGTGATCTGATGTCTGTTGCAGCTTCCACACCTGGAACGGAACACTCTGACGTGGAGTGTGATTTTACGGACATAGAAAAGGAACGGTTAAAGTTAATGAATCACTACGCCTTACACACATCAAAAAGCATCACGGACGTTATCATACCACAAGACCAAAACCAGTCGTTTTGGGGAGAGTGGGTTACTGAGTTGGCTTTCAAGCATAACTTTCTGTTGCACGGCCTTTTGGGGCTAAGCGCCTTACATTTGGCCCTGAAGGGTGTCTCAGCGCAGAGACACACGGTAATGGCTATCCGCCATCATGATCTTGGTGTCGCAATGTTTCGGCCTCACCTTTCTAACATCACACCAGAAAATCATGATGCTGTTTTTGCATTCTCATGCATTGTCGTCCTCTACACTTTTGGGATCCAGCGTCCCTTCGAGCCTACAGAAGACCCTATAGACAGGCTTCACCAGGTCTTCTCTCTCATTCGAGGATCATCTATTCTTGTCAAAGCTGATCACGAAACGATGGCACGTAGTCGTTGGTCCGTCTTGATGTTGCCACACCCGTTTCCACCAACAGTGCTTTCATCTGAGCTCGAGGATGTGCTAAGCAAACTCCTTTCACGCGCTGCGATGACGCCCAAAGCCGCTCGCATGGGTGTATATGAACCGGCCATACAAACTTTGAGACACAGTCTTGCAATGGCAGTAATGTATCGCCGCACTAAAATGACATTCTCGTATTTTGCTGTGATGAGTCCCCCAGAGTTCTGGTCAATGGTGCGCACTGGAGAGCCTCTAGCTCTAGTCATATTAGCCAATTATGCAGTTACTCTCCATTGGTTACGGGAAAACATATGGATGGCATATTGGGGGAAAGGAATCTTGGATGCCGTCCGTCAGAAATTGCCACTAGAGTGGCGCGAATGTATTGCTTGGGCTGTCCAAGAAACGGATTCCCCATCTGAACCAGATGAGGTCGAAGTTTACTCGGCATCAACGTCGGATCCACTGCCAGAGAAAGACCATATTACCGCCTCATCGACATTATAGACTGCGCGCGTCATCGTTTCGCTGGAATCTACTTTTCTCATGGCCTACGAATCCCAACTAGCTATCCTTCCGCTCGACACAAAGTGCTTCCCCATATGAACTGATATCGTACCCAATTTCTTCCAAATATGCCTTGAATCTGGCGTCCTCTGTTTCCAACTCCCGCGACATATCCGGAATCAAGAACCACGCTATCAACGCACCAACCATACAGAAAGCCGACCCGATCAGAAAGACAGCTTGTTGACCTTTTTCGGTAGACGAGAACGAATTCTGGATGGGCGTAAATACCTCGGTCCCGATTGATGCACCCGCCTTTCCAACTGCGGCGGCCAGACCGAGAAAGTGGCCACGAAGAGGGGTGGGAAATGACTCTGCAGCACACAGGAAGGTCGACACTCCGGGGCCCATCTCTCCCAGGGCGTTGAAAATGCCGTACATGACGACGAACAACGGGAATACCGACTGTATCGGACGAAGAGCACCGCCCAGGATGAAGCCCCATACACCCCAGAGCACAAAGCCGAGGGTCATGTTCTGCTTTCTTCCAATCTTATCCATCAGGAGCCCTCCCAGCAGGCAGCCAGGAAGATAGAAGCAGTTTATGACAGTCTGGTGGACCATATCAGCATCTCCACATCATGACATTCGGCTGCTTATTTCACGTACACCGTAACCAATATTCTCCACTGTCGTATTGTTCGGGCTTAGTTGGGCGATGATGGTCGAAGTGAAGAGTCCGAACGGATACGTGACAAAGTCGTAGCAGAACCAAGCGAGAGCTGGGATATCAGGGCTTCTGCTGGAAAGAGAATATACTCAGGTCTACCACTTACAGGTTCCCAGGATCGGTTTCCAATATCTACAAAGGACAAGCCAGTATGGATATCGCGACTTGATGGCGTACTTACGATATTGCTTCGAGTTGATCATACGTATCCGAAAGAAACACATGAAAACCGGAATCTGTCACGATTTTAGTACACCGCTTCGTGTTGAGGGGTCTTAGAGCATACCACAAAGCCAAGTCCAAAGCAAACTCTCCAAACACCACTCTTGATGTCCTGGTGGAAACAAGCAAGAACAATGAGGGCCACGATACCGGCAGCCACAAAGCCCTAGGCATGGGTCAGTTTAGTGAGGTGGAGCTCAGTCCTAATAGTATCCGGACACGTACCATGTCCACCGCAAAATCCGTGGTTGACGCGACCAGAAATCCTCTCTTCTTTCGGAGATTGGCGGTTTCATCAGCCGCTTCAGTTGCACCGGTTGCGCAGACGGGATATTCGCCGCCAGCGCCGAAGCCAGCGATGCCGCGAGCTACAATCATCATCCAAAACATCCTAAACATCGAGTCAGTATTCCCAGGATATAACTCATTCGGTGGAAGCGAGCCTCACCCCAACTCTGAAGTGCCATGTGCTGCAGCAGACAATATGATACCAAGCACCAAGAACGATGTAGTAGCCACCACTCCTGTTCTTCTTCCGACTCGATCGATCAGAGCACCGAAGAACAGCATGCCAAAAATCTCACCGATGAGAAAGGAGTTTGATAATCTGGTTTTGATGCTTGAGGACATGGTATTCTTGTACCTGAATGTGCAATAATGTCGTTATTAGAGAGTCCGAAACCATGGGTTTTTGGTGAGGACGAACAAGACAGAAAATAGGGGCTCCATGTAGCCAACTTCATCACGGATACTGAGATTAGTGATACTTCTTAGGCAGGCTGAGAATAACAAGTTTCGCCCAAAGGTGCACTCACTGATCTGAGCATTATAGCCATCACTGAACAGCCCCAGTCCCGAGACGACAACGTTCAAAACGCCCGACGAGGCCACCGACTCACCGTCTTCGATAGCTTCGGTGTCATCTTGCTTTGTTATTTCTACCTGATGGCTATACTTCGTGGTGATTTCAACCTGTTCGGTCGCGGAGCAATTGGTCGATACAGCCATGATAGGGAACTGCAAGGTGTTGATTGTCACAGAGTGCCCATCGAGCAAAAGTAGTCAGAGCAATTACGTGGATTATCGTCTGTCCTTAACTTGTCCCTTGCATTCCCAAGACATCTACTTCGCGGCAGCTCAGGGTTCCCTGGAGAGGAAATGGACTCCTCGAGAACGTGCCATGCTATCCAATAGCAGCCCGCATGGCTCGCACGAGATACATAGCGTCGCATCGCTGCCGGCAGACGAACCCACCTACCGTACAGCAGGCGGAAAGTTTTCGTCGAGGTCTATCTGATGTAACAGAAAGGATGAACTAAGGATGGACTATACCTTGTCCAGGCTGGGCCCTGGCGGGGATCTCCGCCTCGCTTAGGGAAGAAGGCCGTAGCCTGGCGGGGCTTATCAGGACGGCCCGCGCCCTATGATAGCGCCTCGTCCCGTGCACATGGGCCTTTCATCGCATCCTGAGTGGTTCTATGCCTCGAGATACGTTCAAGGGTCAGCCTGTCTCGTGCCTGGCCTCTGCGTAACCCCTCGTTGACACTTCTGCCTCGTGCTCCGACATGCCCCACTCTGGCACTCGGGCTTCGCACTGGCTCGGCTTGGTGACATATGAAGGTCGGCAACCGGATGTAAGTACTGTTCACGAGGAAGGGGCTCGCATTAGAGGATTTATGGGGGGCGGTGGCCCCAGTCTCTGTCAGGAAAAAGGACATGTGCTCTCTGCTGGTTTGAACCGAAGCATCAGTCCCATCACAACAACGCCGGCATCATGGATAACAGCCATTATGCACTGACGGAGGACCAGCTCCGGTTCTACCAGGAGAAGGGGTATTTGCTCATCCGAGGCTTTTTCAATGATCCTGAGACCAAGGTCCTGCAACAATGGACTCAGGAAGTGCATGACCTTCCGCGAACCCCAGATGCAACTTACATGCCTTATGAGGTGAGATCATAGTGTCGCCTTTCTTTAGCAGACGGCTGGCGAGCTAATTTCCGCTGCAGGAAGTAAATGCGGAAGGCAAAAGAGTTCTCTGCCGCACTGAGAATTATGCCAATTCTCATGCTGGCTTCGACAGTTTTCTGCGTGGTGAACGCATCTTGAGCGTTCTCCGTCAGCTAGCTACAGAGGAAATGATTCTTTTCAAAGAGAAAATTAACTACAAACTCGCTGGTAGTGGTAAGAAATGTAAACCTACTGCACTTGACAGGGTACCAATTAATGCGACGCAGGTGGCTTCTCCCCGCATATCGACGCTAATGCATATACTCACGTCAAGAAAATAAAGCACCTGACAGTGCTTGCTGCTGTTGATGAGATGACTTCGGAAAATGGTGGGCTTGACGTGGTTGACGGCAGTCATCTCATGGAGGTACCCCTTGGAGAAGATCGCTGCATTGGACCTACGTGGGTCAAGAGCCAAACATGGACACCTTGCAATCTGCAACCGGGTATGTCTGTTATATTATGACTGCTATATTCCAGGCATTAACCATCATCTTACACAGGTGACATTCTCGTTTTTGGCTCCTACCTTGCCCACAAAAGTGGCGCCAACACCAGCTCCAAGGACCGACGCGCAATTTATGCCACATACAACCGCTTGGCCGAGGGTGACCTGCACGATCAGTACTATGAGGATCGTCGCAAGCTGTGGCCTGCCACACACATGCGGAAAGAGGGGGAGTCGTATGAAGAGGGCAGGATGCGGTATGGCTATGGCTCCCCGATGCTTACGGTCGAGGGTCAACAGCCGGTACTGGCGTAGCGTAAACTTAGGGTGTAAATCCGTGGGTGTATAGCCTGCTAAGGACAAGGGAAAGAAGATATTTGGAACGAGCAATTCGGCAGTCTAGTATTTTACAAATTCTGTTCTACATCGCGAAGCAGTCAACCATGTAGATCAAACGATCAACACTTCATACTAAATGACACAAATAAGAATTCTATCTCCAACCATTCCAGCACCGGAATCATATTTTATAGTCTAATCCAGAATACCTCTAAACAAAATTGATAAGAGCGAAAGCACGTGGGCTCATGAATCCCGCAGAAAATCGTACCTATATAACCCCTCCCCCCTTCGTCTCTAGTCCCACATCCTCATTATCCTCCTCTCCCCAAAGCAAACCACCTCCATACATCACCCTCCTCCCCTACTTCTCCGGAATGACTCCCGAAACTCCCCTCGATAAAGCCACCTACCTCGTAAACTCCCTCGAGAAATACGGACAAGGCGACTACATCGGCGAATCCATCAGTCAGCTTGAACACTGTCTACAAGCCGCGCACCAAGCCCAGAAATCAGGTACGATAAACACTCCACTCCACTACAAGAGCACCAAATTATCACCATAAGATGAAGAACGATAGAAAATTACAGAGACTCAAAAACCAAACTATGTCAGGCGCATCCCCCGAACTAATCCTCGCCGCCCTCCTCCACGACATCGGCCAAATCATCCCCCTCTCATCCACAAAGGAAGTCCGAATGAACCTGAAATCCAATAACAGTAACAGCACCGAGAACGTCGGCCGAATGGGCCACGAAACCATCGGAGCGGAATATCTTCGTTCACTGGGTTTCAGTGAGAAGGTTTGTCGGTTAGTGGAGAGTCATGTTCCTGCGAAGCGGTATTATTCTCTCCTAGCCTAACACCTACTACTACTGTCTTTAAACTTTCGAGCTGAGAAGATAATGACCAACCGGAATAGGTACCTTACCGCCACAAATAAAGCATACTACGAGACATTGTCGTCCGCATCGAAGAAATCACTAGAGTTCCAGGGCGGGCCGTTTAAGGGCGCTGAGTTAGAGGCCTTCGAGACGGATCCGTTACGTGATGAGATGGTCAAGTTGAGACTTTGGGATGATGCGGCGAAGGTGCAGGGGATTGAGGAGAGTACGCCGAGGGCGGGGGAGTATCGGGATCTGATTCGGGTGCATTTGGAGGGGAGGTGTTAGGGTGGGTAGGTGTTCGTGATCGTTTGGGTATGAAAGGGGCTGTGTATGGTCTGGATAGAAGGTATAAACATCTGTCTTGATAAAGAGAGCGAAATTTTATGGGATATGTGTCTCCTACCGTTAAAGTTATAGTTCTTGACTCATGAAAGGCATGGCTCTACGTGTCGGTAGGAAGTCATATACTAGCATGCAAACCCGCTTTCACGACCGACACAAGTTGGTTACCAAACTGTACGAGAGAAACAGCATATGCAGTTTATCTCATCACCCGTGTAATCAAAAAGTATTTTATCAAAAATTGCATTCACATTGATAAACCAATTATCGCGACTAGAGGAGTCTCCGCAGGACGGGGAGTATTCCGCCGAAGAAAAATAAAAAGAATGCATTGTCGGGGAGTCGAACCCCGGCCACTCGCTTGGAAGGCGAGTATCATAACCGTTAGACTAACAATGCTTGTTGTTATAATCTGTAACTAACTTCAACCTATAGGCAAACCTTTCAAAGCTGTCCAATCGAGCAATGGAGCCATTATCATATGAAAAAGGATAGCAAACACCACTCTCAGTTCCACTAAGTTCGACAATTGGCCTAGTCGAGCAAATACACTATTGTTATCTGCATGACTCGGTTTATCTGGCGTCGTAAGGGATCACGAAGCTGACTTGGTTAGGCCGTCTCTTGGAATAGACGACCATGTCAAATGGGAGTGGCTGCTGTATGCTACTTCGGAAGGCATAGCTTCGCAGCTGGAGATATGCAAATGATCGCTACCTAACAGAGACGATGTGATGCATAGTATTTGCGTGCGAAATCGAGTACTTCGTTGCATCACTCAGTACGAAGGGTAGTGGGGGCAGGTCGATAAACTACTTGCATGGACAGCGAGCATTCTGCCAACACTCTACCGGATACATGCCTATCATTGACCAAATTTGACGAAGCATTTACCCCTTCTCAGAAAGACAGGTCATAACGAATCGGTCATATCGACGTAGATCATATACGTACAGAGAAACGCGTTTGATCGATAACAGTCACTCGACACACTATAAACATCATGTGTCCGTCAAAGACTTGGTGTATTCCAGACCAACTTCTAGATATCATATGGCCATCAACAGTGTAACCAGACGCCGTAAACACGCACACCCAGACCCATGGATTTTGCACCCGAACCCAACACCCACAACCGCACCGGAGAATTGCCAAAAAAAAAAAAGAAAGTGTAGAAGTCAAAGCGCAGGTAGCAAAGAAGAGAAAATGCTCGGGACTATGCACATATTATACCCCGGCAGCAACAATAGGCAGAAAGTAGAAATGCGAAGAAAAGGATATCTGAAAAGGCTCAAGAGCGCGGAGAAGAAAAGAAGTATACCTGCGCCGGTGAGGCGTTTATTTCACCCGCGTGGGACTCCCGGCGCTACCAACGCGGCCGCTAGCCTTCCGGACCTTCGTCTCACTCCTGCTGTCTGTGGCACGCCTGGGGCTCGTCCGAACCTTTGTTACTGCAATCGCTCCACTGCCACTCTTGGTGCTCACAGGAGTCTTCGGTGCTGCATAAGCGGCAGCATCGCCCCAATTCTCTCGATCGTCGTCGTTCAGGGTGTAGCTAGCAGTTACCGTAGCCGAGTAACTGACAGACCGCTGACTAGGAGATGCGACAGGGGATCTCGAGGAACGCTTCGCCAACATACGCAATTGAATCTCCTCTTCACTCTCACTGCTGTCGTTGCTGAGACGGTGGTGTCTGTGGCTGGTCTGTTCGCCATTCTTATTGCCATCCTTGTCCACAACCAAGCTTCCAGATGTGGTACGGGCATAGGGGTGATGGCGAGAATCTTTTCTATGTGATTTGCGGGGCTGTCCAGGAGTGGGTGCGGGAAGGTACTCTTCCGCCTGGGTTCCAGCACCTTCGTTATGGTCGATCTCGCCAAGTGCAGCACGCTTTGAGTGGCCGTTGTTCGGCGGGGTGGCGACAGGTCCATTGGCCCGCTGTCTGGTAGTTGGCCGTCCAGGAGTGATGGGAGCAGCCTGCATCTGAGCCAGCTTCTCCTTCATCGAATCTTCGTACCACCACTCGCGGAAAGAACCCTGGTTGAGGTGTAGCCAGTGCTGCTGAGGACCGACCACCATGCCTGGCCGCATGAATCTCATAAAAGCAATAATCTCGTTGGCGGTGAACCCGTATCTGTAGATCAGGTATGCGCCGATCAAGCAGCCAGTCCGTCCCAGGCCGGCCTTGCAGTGAACAGCAATGCCCTTCTTCTTACTGATCGTCTCGTGTGCCATCTTGATAAAACGACGGACAAGTGGCAGGGGAGGGCAGGTTCCGTCTTCGAAGATCATATCCACATGGGTGATACCCAGAGCCGTGAAGTACGAGGGGGAGTACAATTCGGAGTTCAGTCTGACAACAAGACCAATGTTGCGGGATGAGAAGTGCGCCAGGACATTTTTGAAAGGAAGAGGTAGCTTCGAAGAAAGGACTTCGGAGACGGTCGATGGAAGCGCCGCAAACTCGGGCGTGTTTTGAGGGATTGGCGCAATCGGTTGGTGCTGCGGCGAAGCGAAAGCGAGGAACTGCGGGGTGATCCAGTTGAAATCACCCATGTCAACACGCTCAAACTTCTCATACCTGACATTGTTGTCAGCAAAGTCAATGAGAGCCACTGGGGTCATACATACTCTTCAAGACTAAAGTCCCTGAGGCTACAAAGCGACTGCTCCTTAGCCTTCCACACACCATAGACGACATCCTGGATGTTTAGGATGAAATCCGCCTGACTATATCCAGCATCACGGAAGGGCATGTATGGAGGATCGGCTTGCGCGATAGGTGCTAGAGCCAGGTGCGGAGGCCAGGCCTGGATGAGGACCATGTAGCAGGCAACCAGGCAGGCCGCATTGGCACGGCTTCGTGCATCCGTCTTCGAGTAGAATACCACTGCACGGTCACGGTTCTCAGGCTCCCCGAGGATCTCGTGGAACTGGACCGCAAAACGATACAAGTGACCAATGTGTAGAGGGCCGAAATCCGCATGGAAGGAGTTGTACAGCAAGACATCATCTACTGTGAAATAGACAGGGCTGCGCTTCTTGCTAGGAGTGCTAGGCTGAGCCCTCGCAGAGCGCTTGGACGGTGACCTCGGCTGCTCGAGGGGATAAGGAAACGGTGTTCGTGCATCAGGAGGGTTATCGTAGGAGGCGAGGTAGAGACGATCTGTTTTGCCCGAACGGTTAGCAAGCTGCAGAGAATCACTTCCACTAGCGACGGAATTTCCAGCTGTAGTGACTCCGATATGCTCGTTCGCAATGAAAGGAAGCTAACGAACCTTGAATATATTCAATCACTTGCCCATATCCACTGTTGGTAGCCATCTTGACTGTGGTGATGCGACAACCAAAACAATAGTCGCTAATGGGGGCAAGGTGTAGTCAGAGGAATAGAAGAAAGGAAAGACTTGACAAGATGAACCTGTCAAGAGATGCAATGCTGCAATTGAAAGGAGTAGAGGGAGCTCTGTCAATGGATAGAGAAATAAACAAAATAACAGTTCTGAACTAAAGGCTCATGATCTGATCTGTTGGCGCTCCTAAACAAACGGCGATGCAAATAAGACACGGGTGCCGATAGGGTAAGGATAGCACGAGGAAGTCCAGGGGAGGAGGAGGAAGATATACACGAGCCCGGACAGGGAGCGGTAGAGGCTGGAGACCGACAGTGCGGAGCGTGAGGGGAAGAGAGAGGAGAGGAAGTGAGGGAAAAGTTGGCCGCACGAGAAGAAGATAGGCTCGAGGCCGATGAGTCTGCTTTGGGGGGCAACTGCGATGCACGCTCAGTGGCTGCTGTTATGTTGTGATTCCCCTGATCCGGCTTAGCGGCCGCCGTTGACAGGACAACGTATAATGCCTCAGGCCGCCGTAGCTCCGGGTGATGTCCCTGGCCGTCACGGGACTGTCACCTTAGTCAGTCCTTCTTGCCTCCCCACAGGCAAACAGACCAAACAAACGGGCGCCGCAGCCATCCCTCACCAGCCACAAACAACTGCACACCCGTCCATGTGACCGCCCCGTGACATTTGTTTGTTTTGCGGCCATTGTTGTGGGTGTCAGGATGGTTGTCGCATCAACTTGATCCCCTCATCAGTATGGTCTCACAGTCCGGACTTCTTCTTCAGCTAGCCCTCACATAACCTTTTCTCTGTCATTCCTGGTTGTGTTCATTGCCGCAACCAAAGCCAGGATTTACTTCACCTGCCTGAAGTTATTTGTCTCGATATATCTCGATATATATAACGGACCACATGTATTCGACGTTGCATCCTGATGGTGCTAACAACGAACAATCAACAGTCGCGCAGCATTATGAATGTAATTGATAGACAAATCAGGCTACATATATGAATACAGCAGCTACTACTATTCCTTCCCAGAGCATGCACGGAAATTAGGGGACGATGAACCACAAACAGTTCTGGAACGCTGCAGTTCCCGCTCACCCTTTTGAGTTCAGGTTACCTGTTGATCCTTCCACACCAACGCCTCACTTGGCGCAGACTGCTAGTACCCTTACCACTACGCACATACTCTTCCCATATCAGCCCATCGCAACAAAATAAAGACACTGGTGTGGACTTTGACAATCTAAATCTCCTAGAGTCTGACGTCACTCATTAGGCAGCTTAAAGCCAAGCCAGGCTAAGTCCTGTGCCTGACTAGTAACTATCTAACAGAGCTACTGAAGTACTTAATCCACCTGGGCACACGATTACTACTGATAAATTCGCTCGGTAATAGACGAAAGGCAGGTACCGGAGGTGCTTTCTGAATGATACTTTCGTCTGAATCTCGGCCGATGACGGGGTGATTGAGCTACCGCGAACACGAATGATGTATTGCATGGCCGTCTCAAAAATGATATTTAGTGGGGAGGCTATACCCGGTTAGCGTATGAGTGGTTAACAATCCGATTGTGGTTGGAATCTGCGCCTTATCGTCATGCTGATCGCCCTGCCCAACAACGGTTCTCGAAAATGTAGTGGGTGGATCGGATCGACAGGGATGGAGGTACTGCCTGGCAAAGCTGGCAAGCAGACAGCGGCTGGCTTTTTTGTGAACCTAAATCACTTGCCACACCATCACCTTGCCATTGTTGAAGGTAACATTCAGCGCGACGCTGGGTTCATGCCCCTTTTTGCCTGATGAGTCTAAATAGGATTACGCGATATAGGACTACGCGATTAGTAGTAACCTGCTCATTCATTATTGCTCCTATTGAACGCTTCCCTTCAACTAAAACGCTTTCTTCAACTAGAACGGGAGAATTGATTACTTCACTGAGCTAACAGCTGACTATGAGCCTTTGAAACGTCTGGTTCAATGATCACCATGTTGACCAGAACAGGAATATACAGGATAAGGTTCCGCGGGGTTCCTGGGCGAGCCCCACCACACCCACGGAGGTTTAATGAGATACAGACATTAACCTCCGCATTGCTGCCAAAGCGACAGTCTTGACCATCATCGGCAATCGCATTCGGAGTGGAGTACCTTTTAAGATTTCACTATTGAATCCCTATCCCAAGGTAGGAGAAAGGAACAGAGGCCAATATATACCCGCCCACATCAAGCACTATCGATTTATGCCTGAAATTTGGTCATGGCATACTACGATGTGAGAAACGAACAATCACCCAACGCTTTTCAGTACCATAATATGCATCTACTAACAGACACCGCCTGTGATTTGAACATAGCATGAATAGAAATGGTTCTGTATTCTACAAACCCTTCTGGTCAGAGCAGGCTGGCATCATTTGCCTGCTATATTCTTAATAACTTGCGGGCTTGGATTAAGCTCATCGGATGAATGACGCTCTACCATCCCATCTGAAACGACGGAGTGGTGTCATTGGATCGCGATGTCGATCCTCATTTGTGCGAGCTCCTAAGGTGCCCGATTCATGGATATGGAAGTCAGCTTCATTGCCAGCTTCCCCTGAATCGAAGCTCAGCACACGAAATTTCTTCCAGCGTTGTGTATTTAATGGAGTGTCCGACCTGCTGCTATCCTTTCTCTCTTCAAGCACTTCGCTCAGTGTCAGTCGTTCTCTTAAAACTCAAGCCCTCAATCACTCCTTTCTTGCAACTACAATACACTCATTAACTTTCTTTATCCTCTTATCAAATATCCAACACATCACAATGAAGTTCACTGGAATTGCTGCTTCTCTTGCCCTCGCTGGCACTGTCTCTGCCGCTGCTATCCCAGTTGTAGATACTACCGTTCAGTCTACGCTTAGCCAGCTGACTGGCGTTCTCGGGAAAGTCGACAATGTTGTCGGTGGTCTTGTTGGCTGCGCTAGCACCGACCTCACTGGTCTGAAAGACGGTATGCTACCTATGACCGTGAACCTCTGCTAGGGAGACCCACTGATATAAAGATATGTAGAACTTTCCACCATTGAAGGCAAGCTGACCCAGCTGCTTCCCTCCAACAAGCGTGACCTTACTGGCACTGTCGGTGGCGTTGCTACACCTGTGGTCGGAATCGCCGGTGATGCCGCTGGCACCGTTGGGGGTGTTACCGGCGGTGCTGTTAACACTGTTGGACACGTCGTTGATGGAGCCGTCAACACCGTCGAAGGTGTTGCTTCGCCCGTTGTCAAGACAGCTGGTGCTGCTGTCAACTCTGTCGCCTCCCCTGTCGTCAACGTGGCTGGCGGAGCCGTCGGCACTGTCAAGGGAGCAGCCAGCGGCGTTGTCTCTGCTGGTATGTATAGATACCTAGATTCATGTACAATAACTAACGGTATACCAGACGTCAACCTGAAGCGCGACATCACCGACCTTTCTGGTCTTTCCGAGACTCTTGTCGCCAAGATCCAGAGCGGTAAGTGACATTCTGAGCATGAATAGTAAAGTAAGCTTACTGACCCTTCCAAGGTGACCTGACCGCCGGCGCCCTTGAGAACATCCTGGGCCTCCTCAGCCAGAACGGTGAGTTGATCCGAAAAGGTTTGAAGAGAACATCGCTGACAATAGCCTAGGTGGTCTCGCCAACCTTCAGTCTGTCCTTTCCCTTCTGTAAAGGATGACCGGTTTAAATAATCTTGCTTTCTCCCACGACAAACACCCAATGTTCAGTGATGCGTCATGGAAACCTTCGATCAGGGAAACCTTAACGAAGTCATGACTTGGTGGGAGGGCTCCTTCTGTTGTACATTCGAGCGAATCTTCTATTGTTGGGCCTAGGAGAGCAGCCTTGGAAGAGTTCCGCCTGCCGTATATATACTTTGATACCAGAATAATTGTAATGTCTTGAGGTCACACTCATTTTCTGCCTAGTATTTGATAAAGGAAAGTGAACAGTTACCTGATAAATAGGTTAGAAAACTGCTCGACGATAACCTCATTGCCTTCAATCTTTCCATATCATATTAGCAATGGCGTAACTTGGCTACCCAGCACCAGAACTACAGTACTCAATTAGACTATAATGACCGAAATGCTTGGCAATACAGCTTGCGAGAAATCACAAGCTGGCCGATGTCGCTAGGCCATACTATCAGATACACTTGTTGTAGCCTGAGGCCACAATGCTTACTCATGCCTTATCGCACATCCCACTCTTTCCCCGCCTCAATATCAATCTTTCTCACCAGCGTTACGCTCTTTATACGAGTAATTCGACTTGCTGCTTGCATTACACTCCCCTTGGAATACTTCACTCTCAGGAACTACATACACATACCATAATGGCATCCAACGGAACCCCCACCGAGTTCCCTTACACCCTGTAAGAAGAGTCAAACTCCCCTTGTCCATAGCACATCAACACCACTAACCAACGATAAATCTCGACAGCACAATATCCCTCCCTCTCCCCACCAATCGCCTTGCATCCGCTGCCCTCCGCACCCTCGAAGTCGACACCGAGCTCTCCCCCTTCGTCAAGCGCAGTTTCGCCCTGACAACGCCAACCAAAGAGCAAACCGCCGAGGAAGAAGCCAAAACCGTGCTGGAGACGACCTACTGCGCGACTACGAATCGCATGCTGCGTGTCTCTGTAAATGGCTTCATGGAAAATCTGGCAGTTGTGCTTGGGGTGATGGAAGAATTGGATGTGGATGTTCTAGATGCGGATGATGATAAATGAATGATGGGTCTGTTTTAGTGCAGACAGAAAACTGGAAAAGCAAATGCGAGGTTTACTGTGCTATGCTATGCTACACGCTACAAGCGGCATTGCTTGAGGGATAGATGTGCCCGATAATTGGGTCGATCGAGACCATATCGGTATTTTGCCGCTGGTCATGATCGTTCGGACGGAATACACGGATACCGGGTGTTCCTCGCGGTGAAGACGAGCCGCGTCCGGGGGGTTGTGGATGGGAGATGTGCGTACCGTGGATGGGGCATACCACCAACGTACATGTGTGCGTGGGCTTGTTATGCGATGAAGCTTGAATTGTGAATTGAGTCAGGAGTGTGTATAGCGGGTTGGGTCATATGTGGATGGCGTGGAAAGTGGTCTGTCAGATTGTATAATGCGAGGGTCTAGAATGAAAGATCACTAATGTCTACCTGTTTTCCCATAATGAAGTCTGGCAAGGTACGGATAGATACGAAGAATATACGGAGCCCCAGTCCCAAATAGAAAGAAGCAATGCCACTAAGCTCCAATAGCCGTGCATGATGACCATGCCTTAATTTAAATCCCCAGAAACCACGACATAATGTATCCACCTGGAGTCTCAAGTATTTGGAATACTTAAATGAGCCACCAGTGCACTGATCAAAAATATCCCAGCATCCACTGATCACTAATCAATCCCATTAATTCCATTATGCAAAATAACTATACATCCTCAACCAACCACAAGAGCCATAAAAGCAACCAAGCCCAAAGCAGCAAAAGCGCCGGTGGCGCCGTAACGGGATTTACACGTGCAAAATCCCCCAAGCCACTTTTGGGCCCGAAACCGTATCGATCGACCCGCAATCATTCAGTCCGTTTTCTGCTGTTGATGACATCGATACTGGTTCGGCATCCGGAATCTCTTGTTCCCGATCCATCTGGTTCCATTTCCCCCCTCATTGCTGCTCCTCTTTGGGTAATGCGCCTACCACGATCATTGACTGCCGGCCCCCCTCTTTCTCTCTTCTTAGCCGCCGATGCGTTTGTCATCGATCATCCCATTCACTGATTTATCATCCCCAAGGTCGAGACTCGCTTCGTCAACTACATATCTAGTGGCGCATTCCCTGGTACCAGTACGATTCATCAGAACTACTGCTCCTACTGGTCCATATCACCTTGCGACATCACTGCGATCAAGCCATCGGAACATTTTTCCTCTCCAGCGCATTTACTCACCACCATCACTTCCATCGTCGCATTCCCCAAGACTAAGACTACTATCAACCATGTCTTCCGCAACGACCTTCTACGACTTTGAGCCTGTCGATAGTACGTTATTCGCCCTTTTTCACTTGCGTTTAAATGCCACCCCCTTTACTTCATTTCCAACTAACCACCCCTCTCACCCGCACAGAAAAGGGCTCCCCCTTCCCCCTCATCGACCTCAAGGGCAAAGTCGTCCTCGTCGTCAACACCGCCTCCAAATGCGGCTTCACGCCTCAGTTCCAAGGCCTGGAGAAACTCTACCAAGACATCAAAGCCAAGCACCCGGAAGACTTCACCATCATCGGATTCCCCTGCAACCAGTTCGGAAGCCAGGACCCCGGTTCCGACGACGAGATCCAGTCGTTCTGCCAGATCAACTACGGAGTGACGTTCCCCGTGCTGGGCAAGTCGGACGTTAATGGCGATAAGGCCGCGCCGGTGTGGACATGGATGAAGGAGCAGCAGCCCGGTCTGTTGGGGCTGAAGCGCATCAAGTGGAACTTTGAGAAGTTCTTGATTTCGGCGGATGGAAAGGTTGTGGGTCGCTGGGCTAGTTTGACCAAGCCCGAGTCCTTGGAGGAGCCGATTCTGAAGGAGATTGAGAAGGCGAAGAAGGAGGGGTCGTTGGCTTCTTTGAAGAAGGAGGAGGCCAAGGCTGAGGAGGCGACGGCTTAGTGTGTGTGTCGGAGGAAGTACTATATTAATATTTATATTATATCTGTGTGAGAGAACGGGTGTTTGGTTGGGATGATACCATGCAGCTGCTGTTGCAGCTGCTGTCTTTTATATACTGAGTATTATATAATGGTTGTTACATTACTCTAGGAGAGTGGGGTTGCGAAACGAAACTCTTCAACTGCCGTGCCCTGGACAGTGTCGTTATTTCATGTTCATATCATATGCTAATTTAAGTCTCTGTGTTTAATTTACGCCGCAGCGCTACCCTTGGGAATCAAATTGCGCAAAGAGAGATCGTAAACGACATCCTCCACCTTCTTAACCTGTACCAGCGCATTAGCATCCCATAATCTACAACCTCACAGATAGAAACTTACACTGTATTTAATTCCATCACTCCTCTTCCGCAAAATATCATTCTTCAGGTTCAGCAACTGGAAGCCCGCAAACAAATCCTTGATGAAGTTGCCAATTTGCACCGGCCGGGTATAGTCACCCAGAGTGACCGAGTTGACAGCCAGACGGGCCTGCCACATCTTCTATCAGCAAATAGTAGTCCAATAACAAATCAATATGGGGCACGGAGAAACTGACCAGCTCCTCGACCATGGAAATCAGCGCAAGCAAATACTCCTCAATAGTGAGATGGAAGGCATCCTGTTCTTTGAGATTCACGGGGACTAGATATCATCATCATTAGAATCGAATCCACTACACAATTCGAAACTGTTAATGAATACAAGGAAGTGAGAACCTACCACCCAGGAAATTTCCAACCTCTTCTATCGTCAGAAACGAAGAGGAGCTGTTCGTCTTGTACTCTTCCAGTCCGCCTAGCCAAGCGCAGAGCTCGATCGACGAGACCTGTTGATTGGCTGATTAGCTCTCGTCTGCAATAAACAAACCCCAGTAACAGAAGGGGCACGCACAAGGTTCTGCAACTCGCGCGTCCACACCCCATTGTACTTGTAAAACGGGTGCTTGTCCGCCACAGTCTTCAACCGAGATACTTCATCCCTCTGGGCGATGATCTCCTTGGTTGCGTCATCGAGAACGGGTTTCACTGTCCATATTAGCTGTTTCGCCTAAGCAGTCATCAGGATATGAAGAGAGGAGTCAATCATACACTGATCAGTGGGAGTAGAATGAGCTCGCGAAAGAATAGCCTGGGTAGATCTTCCTATAATCCGATCCTAATAGTCAGTCGACGAATCTCAAATCGAGATAATCCCAATTCTGAGAATTCATATAGGGATAGGTAAGTAGGTAAGTACCCTTTCTAGCAAGCGTCTGCACAATATCGTGAAGCTCCTGTACATCTTGTTAACACAACGGCGCTTTGCTTTCGGTTTTGTCTCTGCGCTTGGCGCGGGCACGGGTCAACTTACATCGCGGACCGCGGCCTCCTCGTCAATCTTGGCCTGCAGGTCTTCGAAGATGTTGTGATCGATCATGATGGATTATTTGTTTATTATCTGATATGTTGTGGTGGATGATAATTGAATGGGATTCGCGATGTGGGAGAGATGAGTTGATGAATGTTACGTCAGGGAAACAAAGCTGAAAAGAGAAATTGTGGGGCAGGTTTTCTGCCGCTTTGGCTTGGATTTTATATCACTGCGGATGACTACTAGAGATGAGGAGGGGTTTCTCAGTGCAGGAGAACTTAGAATGATGAGTATTTCAGCTTCACTGATGGGCTCTGAGAATGTCGATGAATTTGACGTTCTATAGTATTTTGTAGCGCCTTTCACAGTTTTAGCTTATCTGCAATGTCACTACGAAAGCAAGATACACCCCCACACAGCGCTCCTAATTACAAGCAAAAGTCGCTAGTGATTGAGAACATCACATTCATCTTAATTCTAACGAGCCTCTAAGAAAGCCCACACATTCATAAATCATAGCAAGTACCCGGGTAATACCAACCCCACAACATCCAGGACCATCAGTAACGGTACCTCGTCGAGTAATCTACAGCAGATATCATGCATCAGCCAAAACCATCCAGCCTGTAAGAAGGCAATCAAGACAGTATATAGACTTACCCTTCGGGCTGACGACCAGACCACGTCCCTTCTTCGCACCCTTGTAGATGGTCTCGATGATATCGATCATCTCCTGCTTGTCTTCAAGCACCCAGTTCAACTTGTTGTTGTTACCTGTGCCGAAATCGCACATCATGTGCTTATTCCGGTAGAAAAACATGATGGTCATTGGGTCGAAGAGTTCGTACATCGTGTTGAACTCGGGTACCTCGTCGATGTCGCAGAGGTAGATTACGGCGAAGTCTGGTTGGGGGTTAGTCACTGCGAATTTCTTCTTGCCGGAGAAAGTCGTTTTGGGAAGGAGGAATGGATAAAGGATTTCTTGACGTACTCTTCACACGTTCAGCGATCTTGAAAAGGACTTCGTCCTGACGCATGCCTGCGATTCACTGCGTTAGCTTACACCCATAGTGTGATCAGGGAGATTTGTGACGTCGTACAGTCGACATCGTGATCGCGACCGAATCGGATGACCTTTATACGTTTGGTTAGTATGATATGATATGCTTCGCAGCCATGACTTGGTGATATGTATACACACCACAAGTCTGTCCTCCTCGGAAAGGATAGCCTGGTCGACGTGCCAGGCCGTACGCAGATGTGGCAGAACGACGGAACCCATGGTAACGACTTATTGCCCGTTCGAGCTAGAATAGCACTTCTAGTTGGTGTTATCGAGAGAAAATCGTTGGTGTTCTTGACCCTTGCAAGTGATGTAGTTGATAGGAATCACGTGGGTATGGGGGGGTAACGCCGAACCTGCGTTGCTATTTCTCGAAGTTTCGGATGAGGTTTCTAACCATATTTATTGACTACGGACATCTATCAAGCACTACATTCATCATGCGAAGTATTTACTACTAGATCAGACTTTCTTCTCCAACCAGTCGGACAAGCCGACCAAATTGATGAAAAAAGGGTGTTCGCGTCGATCGGGGGTAGTGTAAGCCCGATGACACTGTGCAGCAAGACATGCGCAAGCACAGAGGTCTCGCCACGGGATGCAAAAATAAGATTAATCAATGTTGTGTTCCTTAGAACACTTTCAGAGATTAAACTGAAAAGAACAGATACTACACTTGATCTAAGCCAAAAGGCAAAGAGAGCTGGAGAAGAAAAGAAAAAAATTCTAAAGGACGGGGCCCCCGAGAGGTTTATATAGGATTGGGTGGGTGGCCCGTGCGCAGAACACCGGCTAGTGCCGTTGAGGTAAACAACAAGCGAGAACTGCCGCCATGACTAAGAGAGCTCTCATTGGCCCAGCCCGCGACTCAGTCAGATGACGAGCAGCTGCCCTAATCAGCGTTTTGCAAGCCCTATCCACATACCCAAAACGGATTAGTGACACGCACTTGTCCGACTCGAGCATCTCCATCGACCTTCGACAATTTCTCTCTCCAAGGCGCAGGATATACACCTCTTTGCGACCAGCTAATCCCTCTTTCTATCCTCCAAAAAACCCCCTCCCATCCGTCACAATGGCCCCCGTTGCTGTACGTTTCCTTCCTTGAGACTGCTTTGCTGTTCTCCCCGAATGGGTCCATGTCCATGAAGATGTTTTCTCTGCGTTGAAAAATGAGAGAATACACTTTTCATGGGAAGAAACCCCGGGGTTCCGACATTATGGAACAGTAGGCTAATCATTTATTTTCGGACTATAGACTCGTGGTCGCAAGGCCCAGAAGGTCACCAAGAAGGTATGTGCTTATCGCAATCGCAATCGCAGGCGCAAGTAAAATTCGTGGGTACTAATTGTTTATCTTATAGTTCGTCATCAACGCTTCTCAGCCCGTGAGCGACAAGATCTTCGACCTCTCTGCTTTCGAGAAGTTCCTCCACGACCGCATCAAGGTCGAGGGCCGTGTCGGCAACCTCGGTGACAAGGTCGTCATCTCCCAGGCTGGTGACGGCAAGGTCGAGGTTGTTGCTCACATCCCCTTCTCTGGCCGCTACCTCAAGTACCTGTATGTTCCTCCTTCCATTGATTTAATACAAGTTGGCAAGATGCTAATTGTTCCTCCAATAGCACCAAGAAGTACCTCAAGAAGCAGCAGCTCCGTGACTGGCTCCGTGTCGTCTCCACCTCCAAGGGTGTCTACGAGCTCCGCTTCTACAACGTCGTCAACGACGAGGGCGAGGAGGATGAGGAGTAAATTACTCCTTCCGGAATGACAACAACCAAAAAAATCCAAAAATGACCGGATGACAAGTGTGCTCGCGTCAGGGGGTTACCAATAAATGGGAGCGATATCTGAATTGAGGGTTATCACTTGGAAGTCTGGTTTGGGTATAGATGTGCTCTACAGGGAGGGATTCCTATACCGCTTTGGCGATGGCTGGTGGTTGGCTCGGAGAAGTCTGTTCCTGAAAAGGTGGACAATCCGTGGCTGCCCCGGCTTGTCATGGCTACCTCTACTCATGACGTTATGACTGGTAGATACACGATTGAATAGAGCAATCTATCACTCGAACCTAATGTTGTTCCGTTGTAAATTACGTAGTCGGATGTTGTACAATTTGAGTACGCGTAAACTGGGTATCACTAAGTGTACTAATCTATGTCATCGACAATCGTGTCGTTACTCTCCCAACGCCGAGCTTGCCCGCTTTTGACCCGCTCCCGATCCAAGCCTTCCATGTGCTGCTGCAGCTTCCGCATCGGCGCCTGGTGGAGGCACAAGCTGGTCGTTATGTATGCGCCAGCCTTTAGACTTGAGGACCTTCCACGTCTCTGCTGCCTTGACCCTCACCAGATCACCCGTAGCGATCGAGTCTTCCTTTGAGTCATGGCCGCTGCTGCCTCCCGTTTGGATGTCTCGATCTAGGTGTCTTCGGCATAGAGTCTTCAAGCTCATACGGAGAGGTAAGCCCCGGGGATGTGGGTAGAGGAGCACAGTATCAATGATTGTCGGATGAATGATGCGGCACGCATTGAGGTCATTATCGATCGCATGACCAATGAGTGGCGTATCTGGTTGAAGGCATTCGAATAGAAGCGCCCGGGCTACAGCAGGCGACTCGACAATCTGCAATGGAGGCGAGTCCACTTCCCCGTCCTCCAACTGTGAAATCGTCTGAGAGCCAGAGCTCCCATAGGGAATGGCTTTCGTGTAGTGCTCTGGGAAAACACCAGAAAACCGGGAATTCAAATCCAACACTTCACCGATGGGTCTGACCAAGATATCCAAGAGCGTCTTGCCTTGAGGCCAGCTAACAGCGGTTAACCGAATCAGTTCCAATCCCAGTGTCGTGTAACCCATTTCACAGTCGAAGCAAACTGGCGGGAGTCGCCCCTTCTCTGGTTGTTCCGGGGTTTTCTGAAACTGGAGTACTGATGCGAGTCGTTTGGTTTCCGATACCTTGAATACATGGGTCTTGCCCTTGGTACAGCCAGCAGAAGTTCCCACTGACTCGTTGCAGCACGAGAAGTATGCATCTTTGTGCCCCGTGATGTGATCGGTCTTCTTCTTGGGCGGATAGAGAGGTTTGCCCGGGTGATATGTGCATTGCCCTCCAGTCGTCAAGGTTCCATCCTCCCGACGACCAGGGAAGACTTGGAACCTGCCTCCACACCGATCGCACTTTTCCCATCCCTTGGATTCAATAACACCTTTCCTGGCACCTTCCACTTCAGCGTCCGTCGGAGGTTTTGTAACGTAGCCGTACTGCTCGAGACCTTCCAGACGTGTCACAAGCTTATTCGCCAATGCTATCTCTTCCTTTGCACTAAGCCCAGTGTCAAGAGGTTTCGGTTTTGACTGTTCTGGCCCGGGCGCAATCTTGTAATAACGCTCATTAAGGTGGGTTTTGACGTCATTGGCCCATTCTTCCTTGCTCATCTTTGAGAGCTTTACTATACGGAGCTTGATGACATTAGAGTATATGCTTGGATTCTCTTTGGCGGTCTTTTCCTCTTCATCCAAGGCCATTGTGATAAGCTCATTCGGCGTGAGAACAAGATATTTGTCCTGGCTTTCTTTGTCTTTGGCCAACTTGTCATTTAGAGCAGACATACCGGCATGCAACTTGGTGAGGATGGCCAGACGCACACCATGGGGCGCGGGTGCTTTCGTCAGCATCCGAGGGTTTAGGCTTTCTCGCGGTGCTTGCCTTGGTGGGAGAGATTTTCGAGAGCCGGGAGCGCTTGCTTTGGCTGATGTAGACGTTGGCTTTGCTGGAGGCGTAACTTCCCTTAATAAGGACTGAAGCTTGACGTTGGCTTGGCCATTGAATTGGGATGGCTTGTTCGACGGAGCTTTTGACACAGAACCTTGACTGAGTGCCTCTTTAGCGGGCGAAGATGCCGGCTTGCCAACTGCCTTGGCCTTTTTCTCGTCACCCGGAGCATGTGCTTTGGGTTCGACAGCTGTTTCGCCTGATGTTGTTCCTATTTCGTTCTTGACTGTTCTTGGTATATGAGTGTTCTGACGGCCTCCTTGGGAGGCTGATGTGGAGGCGACGTCCCGGTGAGAGAAGATGCAGGTCAAGAGCAAGCAATTTTGCCCTTCAGGACAAGGTATATCCTTGAATAGACCGAGTGGTGCAAACATTGTGATAGAAGAGAGAGGAAGTTGTTCAGTAAAGAAACAGAAGTCAGGTGTAGATAAAGAAATGAGTATATAGCAGGTATACAAAGATATCACTCATGCCTCGCATTGCTTCGCAGCATGTACTAAACATATAGACAAACTGAAAGAAGTTGCTTGGAGCTGCGGTGTCAGCCACAATATCAGTTACAGATCCGATACAGCACTGAGAAAAGTTGATTAGGCCGTCTTATATGAGCTTTGAGCACATCTGTTTCATCCAGAGATTATGCCTGTCATGGGCAATGAGCCAGCCAGTGTGGTGAGGACAAAGATCTGTGCGAACGGCAGTGCCCTTTTGATCGAGTCCACTTCAGGTCTGGTGTAGTTATATTATGCTATCCGGCTAGGAAGGAGACTCGACAATTTGATATGGGGCAAGGAGGAAGTCCTCCTGGAGTTAAGCCAGGTCCGAGATACGAAGCTGAAGCGAAGCTGCGGATCGGAATGCTGTCATGCAAACCATGCAAACAAGCACCTGCAGCTGCCAGAGGGCCTATCAGCCTCGCCAGTCAATTTGGGCGATTCAAGCTCTCTGACTACAAGCATTATTCATTAACACCAATACTCTGTAATAGAAGAACTATACAGATGGATAGGTGACGACTTCTGCAGGGCGGGGACCCTCTCCAGATCAGGCATCCATCCGATGACGTTTCCTTATCGTGGCTTAGTAAGGAGCCAACGGCGTTCAAGCTGACAGCAGCCAGCAAGATACTCAGCCTCCACCCTCAGGAATTGGCCGTGAGTCAGTGGATTATTTAAAGAGGATGTTGAATGAACTGGCTACAATCACTCGATATAGCATAGCAGCACGTTGACACCAGCTTCAATCCACACCCTATCTCAACTACAGCCAACCATGGAGCTCGATAACGGCCACCCGCCGACTGAAACGTCGCGGAATGCCGACCACCTCTGTGTATTTGTACACGGGTTAGCTATCAGTCCCCAAATTTGCTGCTGAAACCAATTGACATATGATGATGACAGACTATGGGGCAACCCTTCCCACCTGGACTATGTCACCTCATCGCTGAGGAGCCGATACGGCGAAGACCGTCTCCATATTCTTACGGCGAAGCGAAACGCCGGCAACTTTACCTACGATGGCATCGAGGTCGGTGGTGAACGAGTGGCACATGAGGTTGAAGAAGCGCTGGAGGAGCTGGCAGCAGCAGGGCATCATATCAAGAAGTTGAGCATGGTGGGATACTCGCTTGGAGGTCTTGTGGCTCGATATGCGCTCGGGCTGTTGTATTCTCGGGGATGGTTCGATAAGCTTGAGCCAGTAAACTTCACCACGTTTGCATCGCCGCATGTGGGCGTTCGAAACCCCCAAAAGGGAGCCTGGGGCTTCCTCTGGAACAATGTGGGGCCTCACACTATATCTATATCCGGAAAACAACTGTTCATGATTGATTCGTTTCGCGACTCAGGCAAGCCGCTGTTGAGCGTGCTAGCCGACCCGGACAGCGTCTTCATCAAGGCATTGAAGAAGTTCAAGAACCGTACCGTGTATGCGAACGTTGTCAACGACCGGTCCACAATTTACTACACCACGGCAATCTCGACGATCGACCCATTCCATGACCCGGACAATGTCCGCATCAATTACGTGAAGGGCTATGATCCGGTCGTGATCGACTCTGATAGGCATATCCTGCCGTCAGACAAGCAACGCATAGCATCACACTCACTTGTTCCCCAAGCACAGCAGCAAATCATGAGATACCTGGCAGAAGCCCCCTTCCAGCTCCTTTTTACCACCATCCTATTCATCGGCTTTCCTATCTTCCTCGTTAATTCTGCCATTCAAACCATCCGCAGCCAACGACGAATCCGTCTGCACGAAGAGGGACCCATGGGAACCGTCTTCGGACGCTACCGGGTCCCCGTTGTTGTCCAAGGTGTGCAGCACGCAGTAGAAGAGGCTTTCGAGCACGCAGCCGCCGACCAAGGTCCAGACTACCTGGACGAGAGCAAAGGAGAAACGAAACAGATGGCCTCCGCAAGGAGAGCCAGGACAAGCGAAAGCAAGAGCAGTGCACTCCTGGGCGATGACAGCCCCGACGGCGCCTCTGAACCACTACTCGCCCACGAAGGCCACGAAACCCAAGAATTCCCAACCCTCGCATTGACGCCGGATCAATTCGACATCATCGAGTCACTGAACTCTGTGGGCTTCCGAAAGCACCCGGTCTACATCCACAATCACCGACACAGCCACGCCGCGATTATCGTCCGTATGCCCAAGCCGGGATTCGAAGAGGGCAAGGTAGTCATCAAGCACTGGCTTGACCAAGTTTTCGAGCTTTGATAATGGCCCGGAGACGATAAACACGAACCTCAGCTGCCCATGCAACACCCACTTGATAGACTTTCCCCACTCACTTCAGTCATCGCCTCACTGTACTCCGTACTAGCACTCTAGACGAAGACC